AAAAGAAAGCAATTCTGAAGATGATCTATGTAGTCTAATTTCCTACTAAGCGTGTGCAGCGTATCTGTGTGTGTGTGTGAGGTTGTGTGCCAGGAGAAAAGTCAGAAAGGATGTACCTCAGAAATTTAATGATCGCTAAATGAGGAAAGGGTGCTCGAGGGGTTTTCATTTTTTTCACACCCCAAATACATGTTTGCATTTGGGGGATATTTTTGTGCATTGTGAAAGTACTCCTTTACGATCAGAAAAAGGCAAAGTTATTTAAATGACTCATCAATGGATACAGGTTTGTCTTTTCAAACACATCCACCCTGTTTAGTTCTTGATTAGCTGTTACTCTGTAGATCCTGGCGCGTCAGGTGACTGTCGTCCGGTGCTGAACTGGAGATGCCGGGCAGCCGGTCCGTGGGGGCCTGTCTTCTTACTCCCTTTGCTGAACAGACCAGTTAATTTGGCACGGCAGCACCTGGAGTCTGCAAAGTCCCTTCCTTCCAACATCTGACCATCTGTTGTGAAGCCCCCTTGTGCTTCATCCCCTCTCAGGGCTTACACGGGAGCCCCCGTGCGCAGAGAAGCACCTGCCGAGTGTGGGTAGTAGGTGCCTGCCCCAGGCTTGGTGAGTGGATGACCTGAAAGCGCTCAGAGCTCCCAGGACAGGTAGGGAACAAGAAGCAGAGCGATGGGAAAATGTAAGAGATGAGTCAAGCTCTGGTAGCACATCGTACAAAGATCAGAGTAAGGACCCGTGTTCCTGACTCATGCTAGTATCCGATGCAACACCAGCCCTGCGAGCATCGGAGGCGATGGGCCCGGGGACGTGCTGCCTACCCACAGCTCCATGCTGATTCTTGTGTTGGCTTCTTAGAGACAGTAGAGAATACAAAAACGATAGAACAATGCGTTCCTGCTAGCTTTTCTAATAAGCACTTTTGGATTAGTGTGGTAAAGGTCACTTCTTAAGAATTACAAGCTCTCTCCCTTTCCTCTGCCTCCCAGGCCCTGCACATATGCTCATACCCTATTTTTTTTTTTTGGAGACATTTTCTTGCTGTGTCACACAGGCTATAGTGCAGTGACACAATCATTGCCCATTGTAGCCTCAAACTACTTGGCTATAGGGATCCTCCCACCTCAGCCTCCTAAGAACCTAGGACTGTAGCTGAGTGATACAATACCCAGCTAACTTAAAAAGAAATTTTTTTTTAGAGATGGGGTCTCACTATGTTGCCCAGGCTGGTCTTAAACACCTGGGCTCAGGTGGTCCTCTCCCTTTGGCCTCCCCAGTGCTGGGATTACAGGTATGAACTACCGTATCCTATTCTTTCTGGATTTCATACCTTTGGTAGTCTGTTTTCTTGCCCTCGAGCAATGTTCGCTCCTCTTATTGCACGTCTCCAAGCTTTTCAGCCTTTAAGGACCAGAAAAACGTCACTTCCTCAATGAAGGCAGTCTACATTTTCCCCAGAGCTGGATACACAATTTTCTCTGATTCCTACGACATCTGATAGTATTTACCACTGTTGCAGCTACGACTTACCCACTGTACTTGAATGTGTACTTCTTGAGGACATGGATTATGTCTTGTACACCATTTAAGCCCAGCAAGGAGATCAGTTGCTTAAGGCACACTGAACACATGAGCTATGGGATGAAGAACATCCCTGTGTTCTCACACAGCTCTCTGCATTCTGCAAAGAGCATTCACACACACCATTGCACTCAACCCTTGCAACAAGCCCTTGGAGTAGGCTAAGCTGTCATCCCCATTTTACACATGAGCAAACCACGGCTCGGTGAAAGTATGTCTCTTCTTGCCAAGATCCCACAGGCAGCAAGGGACAGACCAAGGGATAGACGGGGCCTTTGCCTTCTGGTCCAGTGTACTTTTCCCTGACATCATCCCACTATGCTGCAAAAACATGGGCCGGATTTTCAGATTTGGGCAGCTGCAACACCCATCACAAGGCCACAGGGAACAGAGAGGGGAGAGATTTGCCGTGCTGCTGAGTCAGTCACAAGTTCACTACCAGCAACCATTGCGAGCTTCTGCACTCAGGATGCCAGGTGGACTTTACTATGTTTTCCCCACTTCCCAGGGGCCAGAATAGCGTGAAAACAAGCTCTGAGACTTTGCAGCTGGTGAAATAAAAGTTTGCAAAGTGTTCTGACAAAAGCAGAAGAGAAATAGGGGGCAGGGCTGTCTGTGCAGTCTTTAGACGGTGGGTCTCTCTAAAGCTTCTGTGGGCCAGACGCACATTTAAGATGGAATCGAGGGGAGCCTTGTAGAAAGCTAGTGTAGGATTTCAAAGTTGCAAAAAGTAGCTTCTGTGAATTTAATCTCCGGCTCTGCTCTTTTTGCACCAGCTGGAGCAGCCTACAAGTTCCTCCTTCGGATAAATTTTGTAAACAGGTGTGCTGAACCGAAGAACACTGGGCTGCCTGTTTTTTTTTTGTTGTTGTTGTTAAGATGACAAGTTATTTTTATAGTAGCTCCTAAAATAAAATGTCACACATTGGGTCACATATTTGCCGTTAAAGGAACAAATGAAAGTCTCACTAGTCATCATGGTTCAGTCTCCTTCTAGAATGTTTCCGCCAGGGCTATCCGGCGATGAAGTAAGTGTATATCCTTTTGTATCTATTGTTTGAAAGATCACATGATATAACCTAATCATCTTGGTGACCTCTTTTCCATCAGCATAAGGGCTATCTTCGTCTCTGCATTGTCTACACGCTGGTTTATTGAATGGATATATCTGGATATTTAGGTTGTTTTCACTTTTTTGTTCAGCAATAAAATGCTGAAACACACATCCCCATATTTAAATCTTTATGTTATTCTGTGAGAAGACCAGCAGGGCAAATTCCCAGCCGATGAGCTGCTGAGTCAGACATGTAGTACTTTGACAGACATGGCTTGGCCATCCAAAAAGGTCACCTAAATTTTTGCTCCCCCAAACTCTGACTAACATCATTATGATCGATTGCTATTTTCAACCCGAAACTTGCTATAACTAACTATAACCAAAGCCATTCTTTCTTCTTTCTGTGGCTTTCTTTGAAAAATTTTCTCACCTATTATCTGATTAATATTCAGTCTCTTCATGCAAGTAAAAAGGAAGAGACATAAGCCATGGGTACTAGAAATATCTGAAGTGCTTTCTAACTAGAGTCTCAGTTATAGCCCAAGAATATGGGGAAAGGGGAGAGGGTGGGGAGGGGAGGCAGGAGGATGGATGGAGGGAGGGTGATTGGTGGGATCACGCCTATGGTTCATCTTATAAGGGCACATGTAAATCTTTCTAAATGTAGAATATAAATGTCTTAACACAATAACTAAGAAAATGACATGAAGGCTATGTCAACCAGTTTGATGAAAATATTTCAAATTGTATATAAAAACAGCACACTGTACCCCATGACTATATCAATGTACACAGCTATGATTTAATAAAAAAAAAAAAAACCACTCTCCCTATTCACCAAGCTATAATCATGTTAAATTGTCTGAGTTGGGGTCTTCCAAACTCACCAGGGTATTTTTCGTCTGGAGAAAACAAAGTGAATAGCAACTCTCAGCCCCTCCAAATGGCTGCTTTTCTGCTTGCTGGTTAAATTTCCCATCTCAAAACAGATGTTTATGGGGCTCCCTGATGGCATCTGGAGGGATCCTGAGCGGAAATCAGTCACTCCAAAGAAGACACCAGAACATTCAGATCTATGACCTGGGGGAACGTTCTCGGTTCTTGTGCTTAGGAGCAAACAGGCAAAGTACAATTTTTTTTTTTAAGAAAACATATTTCCCATTCACCTTGGAAATATTGCAAAATAACTATAAAAAGAGGTTCACAACAAGCTAATTGCCCCCACAGAGGAGAATGTTTAAATCAGTTGTGGCAGAGCCTGTGTGGGATCACCATGTGTGCTCGTGTGGGTTCCCCCAGGTGGGAACGCCATGCAGCTGACGCACGCAATCACATGCCTAAAGAACTTTTAATGTTGAAGGAGACACTTATTATCTGTTAGGTAAAAATAACCAGAAAAATTAATAATAAAAGTGTGTAAATGCATAGAAACAGGCTGGGAAGAAAAATAACAAAAAGTTAAGAGCAATTACTTTGGGATGCTAAGATTATGGGTGATGTTGATTTCATACACAAGCCTGTTACTTTTATAATAATAGAAAAGTCATAAAACAAAAGCAAGTGTTTTTTAAATTTTTTATATTTAGACAGACTCTCACTCTGTTGCCCAGTGAGTGACACCAGTGCTGTGGTGTCAGTCTAGCTAACAGCAACCTCAAACTCCTGTGCTCAAGTGATCCCCTTAATCACTTGTGGTCTCAACCTCCCAAGTTACTGGGACCACAGGCCCCCCCCCCACCACACCCAGCTAGTTTTTCTATTTTTAGTAGCGATGGTCTTGTTCTTGCTCAGGCTGGTCTTGAACTCCTGAGCTCAGGCGATCCACCTGCTTCTGCCTCCCAAAGTGCTAGGATTACAGGTGTGAGCCACTGCACTGCCTAGGGTGTTTTTGTTTTTGTTTTTTAGTATAAACACCAGAGTTTTCCTGATACTCAGAGGGCTACTGTGAAATTGGCTTTTGCCGAGGTAGCTGATGGGAGATCGTGGTTGTAGCCGAAGCTGCTCAGATTTCTAATATTTCAGACTCAGCCCTGTTTTAGCTGTTCTTGTATCTTGGGATCAATTTCCAAGAAATTTTTTCTTTGAAAAGCATTTTTTTTTTTTTTGGTGACTCTTGTTAGGATCTAATTGGAAGCGTTAGGGAAACGTCCAGGATAGCATAAGGCATGTCCATGAGCCCTTTACCCAAACCTTTGTTTCCCTTTTTCCCCATTGGCTTTCTTCTTCTCTCTCTATGCACGTGTTTTTATTATATGTGGTTGTTTTTCTGAATCATTTGAGAATATGCTGAAGACATGGTGCTCTTTTACCCCCGAATACTTAACAGGGGATAGTTCCTAAGAACAAGGCATTCTCCTAGACAACCACGATGGGGTTAGCAAAATCTTGACATTGAAGACTGACACAGCACTATTGCCTAAGTCCCAGTTCATGTTGAAATGCCCTCAGTGTCCTAGTAACATCCTTTAGGAGCATTTCCCCCACTCTAGGATCACACCCAGGTTCTGTGTTGCGTCTGGTTGTGCCTCTTCAGTCTCCTTCAATCCAGGGACAGCTGCTTGGTCTTTGTGTCATGTGCCTGACGATCACATTTTTGAAGAGTTTTCAGCCAGTTAATTTGCAGAAAGACCTTCATTTGGGGTTGGTCTGATGTTTCCTCATTCCTGGATTTGGGTTGGTGCTTTTTGGCAGGAACAAAGACGCCGCGTCCTTCCTGTTTTCAATGCATAGTTTTAGGACAAATGTGACGGTGGTTTGTGCCCACCTGGGTGGGGTGGGGTTTGAAGGTCACTTAAGTTTCTCCACGGTGAAGTTCCTTTCTTCCCTTTGTATTTAACATGCCATTTGGGGGAGCCTTTGAGAAGAGGAGAAATTCTGTTCCCCATCAGACGGTCACTCACTGATTTCAGCTTCCACAGGTGATTTCTAACGCCAATCTCCCTTCTATGTTTATTAGCTGGCACCATGATAAGGGCTTTCTCTTTTCTGCATTTGTTATTCATTTATTTTTGTCCGTACAGGTTGTCATTTATTGCATGTGCTATAAATATTAATATTCTTATTGATTTGTATACTCAAATGGCTTCAGATGTCCCTAGTGGGAGCCCTGTCAAGTTGGCTTCTGGGTCCTTTTGACAAGTCCTCATGGTCCTTTGAGCACTTCCTTGCTTTCTGGGACAAGAAGCTGTTTCAGGTTCATCTTATAGTTTTTCTGCCCTGGCTATGGAAAAAGACATTTCTCCAAGGAGCCCTGGTTCTTATTGGTGGAGAAAGTGAGTTAGACACCAAGACAAGGGCACTAGGTGCTCACTCTACTGCGTGTCATGGAAGAGCCAGGAATATGTATGTGAAACACATGCACACACACATACTCGGGCTGTATATCTAGCTAGCTAGCTATCTCTATCTCTCATCTATTAATCATCTATCTCTCATCTATCAATCATCTATCTATTTTATTATCTATCTATACATCCATCCTATCTGCCTGTCTCTGCCTAATCTAATCTTTACAACACAAGTGTTCCTACTGACCTCACAAGGCCACCACAACTGCATGAGGCACTCCCAGGCAGGAAGTTCTGGCTGCCTTCTTCCCTGCCTGCTGATAGCCAGATATGACTCTGAAGAGTGAAGAAAATCAGAATGTTTTCATCAGACCTTGTTTTTTTCTCCTTCACTTTAACGGTTTTATCAAGGTCCAAATACAATACTTTGCAAATACTTGAAGTACCAAATGTAAGCTCTGACGTGCACATTCCCATATGAACCACCACACAGTCTAGGCGGTGAACTATTTGTCCCCCAGGCTTCCTGCTGTGCTCTGCACCTGCCAGCCCTTTCCCCTGCGCTGCCCTCCCCTTCTCTCTCTTGCCAGGAAATCTCTGACCTGCTTACTGTCACTACAGATTAGTTTGCATTATCTGGAGTTTTACATAAATTAATGATATGTGTAAGCATATTTTTAAGCATAATTGTTTTGAGATTCATCCACATGGCTGTGTGAATGAATCATTCATTCTCTGTTTGATTGAATGGATATTTCATGGTTTACTTATCCATTCACTATTTGATAGGCATTTAGACTGTTTCCAGTTTTTGTCTAATACAAATCAAACTGCTGTCAGTATCATGTACCAGTTTTTGTAGGGACAGGGGCCATATGCTTGCATTTTTTTTATTTCAATACTTATTGAGTGGGATTGTTAAATCACATGGTAAGTGTATATATAACTTTTGAAGAAACTGCCAAATGGTTTTCCTGATTTTGTTACAGAAAGGAAGCCAGCAGGTTACAGGTGGATTTGAGGAGAGAATATTTTCTTCTAGAACCTTGAGCTGTGGCACTGGACATGTTTCTTTGAAATATCCTTCATGAAGATTTAGAAGGACATGACCTTGCTCAGGCTCAGACCCCTTCCATGAAGGAGGTCAAGCTGTTGTTTCTTTGGTTATATAGGGGTGCGCTTTAAAGAGATTCAAAACACATGAAAGTGACCTCCTCCTGCTGGAGTTGAGTAAAGTGGAGCAAGGTGGGTGCTGGGCCATGGAGCCTCCTGGGAGAAGGACCTCAACCCCAATCCCAGCGGGCACTACTAAAGAAGGACCTCTTGTCCCTTTCACCATCTGGTTGCCCTGGGGCCCTTCCCCTGGGCAGAGCTGGGCCCAGAGCACTCTTAAAGCAACCACAGCCCTACCATCTTTAGTGAGTCCCTTAGCCGATGGCATGGGGGAAGGGGAGCCATTTAGCAAAACCAGGTTTGCCAGACAAGTTGAATCAAGAGAAAAGAGAAAAGACACTCATGTAAAAAGAACAGGCTAGGAAAAAGTTAAAAGCTCCCTCACAGGGGATGAGAGTCACTAGTTATTGTCTAAGAAGGAAAACAAATACTAGAATAAGGTGACTCACAGAGTCAAGGAGGTGAATGATCACTTCAAGAAAGAGATTTATTTCATTTCTATGTTAACAATCGATATGATTCTGAAATCTAGAATATTTGAGCTGATATCAGTATAAAACAGACTGTAACTTTTGCTTGGGATATTTTTTCACAAGCAGAGGAAGGATTTTTCACAAGCATAAGCAGATTTAATATTTAAACTCATCTTTTTGGTGTTTGGTTGTTACTGTACATTTCTAAGGCAGTCTCCTTTTTGATTTTTGCCCTTTCTTTCTAGAAGCAGGCTTGTACCTGACCCACCATGACGGCCACAGACTTCACAGTGAGTACAGCCATGCCCCTCTAACTCCCCGGAATGAGCACCTATCTTCCTTTCTGTTGGGGTATGGGAAGAAATCCATTGCAGAGGAAGGATTTTTCAGTGTGGTTTCTCAGGGTAAGACCTCTGCTTAGCAATGCCCAGGCCCAGGTAGGTTGTTGTCCAGCATGGAGGACTTTGCCAACACAAAGACTCAGAGGTACTTGAGACATGTTATAAAGACAGGAAAACTTGATTTGGGATTTTACTAATAGGTAAGGGTTTTTATGATCTTTATAACTAGGACCTGATTAGTTCCATGTGTATGTGTTCTGAAACTCAAGCAAGGAAGGGTAGTCTAGAATCCATTCAATTCAATTGATTAGTTTATTTTTTTTAGAGATGGGGTCTTTCTTACTATGTTGTCCAGGCTAATCTTGAACTCTTGGGCTCAAGTGTTCCTCCCACCTCCCAATTAGCTGGGATTACAGGCATGGGCCAATGCACCCGGCACAGTTAATTTGTTTTTAAAGGACCCATAGTGGGCACATTAACTGTATTTCTTGCACAACATTATGTAGGCCTTATGAAAACACATAATGGTGTATATTCCTCTGAAAGAGACTAGGAACTGAACAAACATGTGTGAGTCAACTCACTACCCAGAGAATCACCTTTTCTTTTACAGCCAAATATAATTAATTATAGAATCAAATCAAATTCTTTTCCTTTTGTGGTATTCATAAATGCCTTACAGAAACACCTAAGAGTTTTAATTTTGCTTTTCTCAAAGGGAAAGCCTGAGTTTTACATGTAGATAATCAAATTAAGGCTTTCTTAGGGGAGCTAAAAACTGCCCTTCACAGTACATTATAGGTTTCCATGAGCTAAGACAATGGTGGTGGAAGTAGTTTGTCAATTCAATTATTTATGATATGCTAAGGATTCTCTATTGTCATATATGTGCAATTACCTAACTGCACATGGATCCATAACAACAAACAATGGAAATTAATGTGGTCCCGGGGAGGTAGCAGGGTCATTGTCTATTTTTCCGACTGGCGGTGGACTCCTCAGTTCCTTCAGCATCAGAATTCACCTTTCCATCCTGAGGCCATGGGAGCAGATCTAGATGGAGGCAGCAGAGCCAGGGCTGCTTCTGAGACTGTCAGTCGCTTGGTTTTATCCTTTAGGAACTCGGAAAATAGCCAAACTCTGCAAGGCAGCCCCAGATAAGGACACTGCATTCCAATAATGACTTTCTATGCCCAGGGAAACTCAGTACCACCTAAATGGAAGAAGATGGGGCCTCTGTGCTGTGACTCCCACATTGGTGGAAAGTAGTCCGTGGCATCCTCTGGCCATCTTTCTGAGGACTGTTCCCCACCCAGGAATCCCACATTCCCTCAGCCTCACAATAAGGCAGAGTCCTTTTTATAGGCGAGAACACAGACTGGGAGAGTTGATTTGGTGGTTCAAGGCCTCATAGCACTCCGGAGAAGTGCCCAGAGGTGGTCCCAGCACTCATGGCTTTGCTGTGTTGTTCCCTGTGGGCTAGTGTCAAATGCACTGAACTCCAGGCCTCAAGTGTGGGGACATGGCGACAACTGACCAGTCCATCTCCTTCCTGCTCACCCCCACTCTCATCCTGTCTTCCATCCCTGTGTGCCCACCTCAGTGCTAAGGAACAATGGGGACACAGCCTTGGCAGGGGCAGTCTTTGCCTTCCCTCCATCCATTCCCCAGAGGTGGGAATTTGGGGCCTGGGGCTGGCCAAGGGTTTCCAGAGAATGCAGGACTCAGAGAAGGAGGCCCTGGAAAGCTCTGGAGACCCTCCTGCTCTGAGAGCTGCATAGCTGTGGTGCCTGGGCTGCTGCATGTGGGCTCAGGACTCCAGCGGAGGATACCCCTGTCTGGGAGCCTGTGGGCTCAGAGCCTGTGGGATATAGACCGGCAGGATGGGCCTTTGCCCCGGTTGTGCACTGGGGGTTGTTTACATTTACTGGGAGATTTTCAGAGGCCCCTATGTCCAAGATCCCAAGAAGATTTACCCCTCAGGTATTCAGAACGTCTCTTGTGGCCTTGACAAGAGTCATATAAATTCAGGCCTTTTTGCGTATGAATTGAATCATTTAAAAAATATGCCCATGGAGTCTCTAACTAAATAAATAATTCCATGCTAAAGTACAGGGTTCTCTAGTGTTTACCCAGTAAAAACATATGCCTCTTGTTCTTGCAGTGGGACTGAATTTTGGAGCATGGCTGTGCCTTCCCTGGGCAGTGGAGAGCACTGGTCACCCAGGGACACTGGGACTCCTACATATCGATTTGTCCACCCTCCTGCCCTCCTCTCCGCCCTGCTTCAGAGCTCTTTCTCAGGGGTCATCCTCCCTGGCTGGAGCCAGCACAGCAAAGTGACGCTGCCTTCTCACCATCTCCTCTCTTTTTACCTCCAAAACCAAAGCCATTTCTTGAGCTTGTCTGTCTACAAAACTCTCCCCTATAACTCCCCACTTGTTTTCCTCTTCCTCCCTTCTCTGCCTTCTTCTTCACGCATCCTTCAAATCCACCCAGGGATGCTCCTTGCCACCGGTGTTGCAGCAGGGGAAGGGGGGTTGACGGACCCTAGAAGAAGCACCCCCAAAATGTCATCCTCTCAATCTCTTAAATCTACCATGATGCCCATTTTTGGGTCTCCATGTTCTTTGCATTGTCCTTTCTATCCTGAAATTCTTCCTTTCACTTAAGGTCCACTCAAGCCCTACCTCTTCCGAGACGGTGGTCCTGGTGGGGCCATGACTATGGCAGCTCCCATGTCTAGCGCTGGCAGGATTCTCCTGGCATTGTCATGAAAATATATGTCTTCCATGAGTCTTTACTCCCCAAAGACTGGGTTTCCAGACAATGTCTGGCCAGAGGGAAATCTCTAAATTTAACCTGAAAATGGACAAGGGGGACTGGGATTTTCCTCAGCTCTTTGCAGTAGAGACCACCTCCTGGATCCTGCCCCACCCAGGTCTTTCTCTTTGGGATAGGACTTTCTCTTGGTCATACACTGGCATTGGAGTTGGGAGTAAACATCAGATTTTCCCATTTTTCACCCAGGTTATCCTGGGTGGGCGTCCTTGGGGTTTTCCTGCTATGTCTTGCCGGCCAGGGCCCAAATAGGATGGGTTCATGGTGTGAGTTTCAGAATCCAGGAGACAGCAGCCTCCTGTTATCTAATACCCTTTATCAGTCAACTCAATGCGCCCTGAAATCTAATGAGCACTCCATAAACACACATTGAGACAAGTTTAGGAAACTTTGCCAAACAAGATTCAACAGATTCTGAAGGACTTCTCTGAGCCTTTATTATGCTAAATGCACAATTAAAATAAGACAAATTTTCAGAGTCTTTAACATGCTTGGGAATAATAAGAATGTTAAAGAATGGCTCGGTGCCTATAGCTCAGTGAGTAGGGCGCTGGCCACATACACTGAAGCTAGCAGATTCAAGCCTGGCTTGGGCCTGCTAAACAACAATGACAACTGCAACCAAAAAAATAGCCAGGGCAGGCGCCTGTAGTCCCAGCTATTTTGCGAGGCTGAGGCAAGAGAATCGCTTAAGCCCAAGAGTTGGAGGTTGCTGTGAGCTATAACACCATATCACTCTATCCAGGGCAACATAGTGAGACTCCATCTCCAAAAAAAACAAAGAATTTCAGAGAAGGTAATAGGGATTTTCAACTATTTAACCACTAATGTTCTACCCAAAACACGGTTTGGGAAATGCTAGTTAAATCTATTAGCAACAGTGGAAATTATAACATACACAGGGAAAGGCCAGCTAACAGTATTCATATTTTATTTCAATATGAATATTTAAATACATAAGCTAAGGCCAGGTACAGTGGTTTAGGTCTATAATCCTAGTGTAGCAGGAAACTGACGCAGACAGAAGACTCCAGGCACCAGTTGATTAGAGGAAGCAGGTTTATTCGGCCGGGGGTACTCGGGACACCAGCGTGTTTCCCAAAACCGAGCCCCCCCCAGACTTAATCTCTTGCCTCTCTTTTATCCACCTTTCAGGGCAGGAGTGCATGTTGAGGATCATAAAATAGAGAGAGACATGACATCATCCTCAAGGTCCCGGGCTCAAGGGGGAAGGTCAGATTCGCCTGCATCCTTGAGACCGGTCGGACCACCTGCCCTCAAAGGCAACAGAAACCTAAGGAAGTTACTAGGTTACAATCTAGGCCCCAGGTATGTCAAGGAAGAAACATACAGACAACAGAAACGCCTGCGGCTTGGCTGAGGCTACACAGGGCGGCTAGGACAGATCCTTTTAGTTCTGCTTTGACTTTCTTGCCTCACTAGCACTATGGGAGGCTGAGGCTGGTGGGTCACCTGAGCTCAGGAGTTTAAGACCAGCCTGAGCAACACTGAGATTCCATCTCTAAAAGTAGCTGGGGGTTGTGGCGGGCACCTGTAGTCCTCGCCACTTGGGAAGCTGAGGCAAGAGGATCGCTTGAGACCAAGAGTTTGAGGTTGCTGTGAGCTATGATGCTATAGCACTCTACCCAGGATGTCAAAGTGAGACTATCTCAAAGAAAAAATAATAACAAAAATAAATACATAAGCTAAATATTTGTACTTAAATATTTATTAATGTTAACAATCTAAAACAAAATAAAAACCTGTTGTGGATTTGGGGTTACCTCTAGAGCAAACACATTCAGATGAATTGAACAACTACCGCATTTGCCTGAGAAGAAATAAAGGCAGAAGTGAGATCTGGCAAGGCACATCTCTCAGGGCAAGGGATTGAGAGCGGTGGTCCCTGGTGGGACCTATGAGGCCTAATGGCAGCCCTGGGAGGGGACCAATGGGAAGTTAGAGCATTTGAGGGTCTGTGGGCAGAGGTTTGGGAACAAAATGTAGCAGGTGCTGCACTGACTCTCCCCTGTATTTGGCAGCCCTGTCTCTGCTTGGCAATGTGCTTCCTCCCTCCCCTTAGGCTTCACTTAAGGGCTCATGTCTCAAGGGCACATCCAGCCCTTATTTCCTCTTCCTCTAGCATAGTGGTTCTCAACCTGTGGGTTGTGACCCACAGGAACTGTATTAAAGGGTCGGAGCATTAGGAAGGTTGAGAACCACTGCGTCTAGCAGGTGTTCTAGGATGGTTCCTGGTTTAGGAACCAACAGAAAGTGGAACCAGGCATGGGGGGGTGGCCTAGGCATGTGTCTAGATTAAGGTGACCAGATTTTAACATTGGTAAAGCAGGACACCATTGATGGGGTGGGCGGGGGAGGTGTGTGTTGGGGTTCTTAATTAAAAATTTGGTCTATATAGAGCAACAAAAATTTTCATAGAACGCAAAAATAGTATTATAATATATATTTTTTAATTTCAACATAAGTACAATTTATAAATATAATACTGTGTTGTTTTTTTTTTTGAGACGGAGCCTCAAGCTATCTCCCTGGGTAGAGTGCCATGGCATCATGCTCACAGCAACCTCCAACTCCTGGGCTCAAGCGAGTCTCCTGTCTCAGCCTCCCAAGTAGCTGGG